GGGTCGAACGTACCGCTGCATTGTACACTCTACCCTTCAGGGCGAGAGTGATGTCGCGCCGCCGCCATAGTTGGCGAAGGTTAGCAAAAGCGCCCCGAGCTTTTGGCATACGGTTCGCGATCTCATCTTCAATCGCACGGGCGCTGATACAACTTCCCATGTAGTTGAATTTTTGAACGCTTCTAGCTGATCCCCAACAAGGGTCAGCGTAGGAGGCGGTCCAGACCGATCTTGGAGGAAGTCTTTGCACTTCGAGGGTGCAAAGCACAGCCCGAAGTGAGGGACAGGTAGTGCTAATCTGTCCAGTGCCGCTTGGCACATTTGTGAGCTGTCACAGATTAGGGCAATATCATCAGCATATTTTAAGTCAAGAAGTCGTTCTCCTGGGAGTAGCTCCACACCTTCAAAGTCGTGTCCTGTGAACGCGATTTCCCTGACTTCGTCAATAGCGAAGTTGAAGAGTAAAGGTGACAGCGGGCATCCTTATCTCACACCGCTGGAGATATTGAACGGCGACGATGATTTGCCGTAAGCCCTCACTCTGCCCGAGCTACGCGCGTATAACGCACGGAGAACATTTACTCATTTCTCGAGCACACCTTTCCTGAGTAGACAATTCCAAAGGGTATATCGATCAACTGAAGCAAAGGCATGTTTGATATCGAGGAACATGACAATGGTGGGCAGCAAATATATGTGACGGTGCTCCAACAACTGACGCAAGGTGAAGATGTGGTCAATGCAGCCACGACCTCGACGAAAACCTGGCTTGCTCTTCGCGAATCTGGCTTTCACGAGTGCCAGTCAGTCTGTGAAGGATGACAGAGGCAAGTAATTTGGAGGCGATGGAGATCAGACTGATTCCTCTATGGCTGCCGCATTCTGATCGTGAGGCTCCCTTGAAAATTGGAACTATGACGGAGCGGCTCCAGTCGGTTGGGAGAGTTTCCTGCTCCCACATTTTAACTAGGAACTCGTGTAAATTATGCACTAGAGCAGGTCCCCCTAATTTGAAGAGGGCTGGAGGAAGATGATCAGGTCCCGCGGCTTTATTGAACTTCAGCAGTCCGATCTAATGTTCGACTTCTGAGCGAGAGGGTGGATCCAAAGGGACAGCCCATGGAGCGGGGCGATCAGTGGCCGGCGAGAAATGTAACAATTCCGGCCGATTAAATTGGCTTTCAAAGTGCTCAGCCCAACGCTCCAAACGTTTTGACAAGTTGTGTATAGGCTGTGCACTCTCGTCACGTATAGTTTCACTAACACCAGATCTCCTGCTGACCGTTTCTCGTATCAGACGGAATAACTTATGATGGTTGCCAAGGGCAGCGGCCATTTCCATCTCCGAAGCACGATGAGACCACCAAGATTCGCGGTCTCTCTTCAGGCTAGCACGGAGTTTTGCCCGGAGGTCTTTGCGAGTTTCATTGTGTTCGTTTCTAGCCGGAATATGCCGGCGAGCGTCGATAAGTTCCAGAGACTGCGAAGAGACCCACTGTCCATGTTGGCGATTAGACGTTCCACATGAGGATTTGCCTGCTGCTCGTGAGGTCTGGTGACATATGACCATGACCATCAATTGCATCCAGTGAGCGCTTACTCAACTTGCATGACAGCGTACTTTGATATGCATTCAGAACAGCTGGTTTCGCCAGTTGGCTGGTGTCAATGCGCTCACAGCGTCATCGTGGGCGTCCGCCAAAGCGCATCGGCAGATCAGCACATACAAGTGCATGGTCGGTGTCCACACATGTGCTCCAAATCGAGCGACAGTTCTAGACGCAGGCTCTCCATCGGTAACTTATCGCAATGTGATCTATTTGCGTCCATAGCTGGTTCGAGGCTGGTGGGCGTCAAGTCACCCTCCGGCGGGTGCTGTGTCGGAAATTAGTGCCCGCACAAATAAGCGAGCATCCTCACACAAATGAAGTAACCGCTCACCGTTATCTTTGCGGGAGCGTATACCATGTTGGCCGCCCAAACGCAGCTCATCAGTGGATAGTTTTCCAACTTGAGCGTTCAGATCCCCGGCCAACACTTCAGCGTCTGAGCTTTTTCTTTGGCTAGGAGCTCGTTCAGTTGACGATAGAAGTCGTCTTTTACCGAGTCATCGCTACAGTTTGTCGGTGCATAGGCAGCGATGATGAATAGACACCTGTTAGTCCCAGGCGACTTCGAAGTTTTGAACGAGCCAGGCAATTGGACCGCACACATCCGGCTACTGATTGGAATCCAATCAACCAGAGTAGCTTCAGCCCGGGGACTCAGGGCAATACCAACACCGGCTTGGCCGGTGCTCGAAGCTGCATCGTCACCGGATAGGCGCAGTGAGAAAGTGCTGCTAGTGTCACCTGAAGGGATCGCAAAGTGAGTACAGAGCTCGAGTCTTGCTGGCGGGTCTCTGATAAACAGCAGATATCCATTGTGAGGGTCTCTAATGTTCGGGCATGTGCTGCCTGTTGCCAGATCTGAAGCAGTGTGCGAACATTGAGGCATGCCAATATGAAGGAGGATCGAGGGCTCCAATTGGAAGTCGACGAACTGGAATGGGACGCTTGATTGGATATGGGCCTGTTGACAGGGTAGAAGTGACGCTCCGCGTTCACATGTGAGTTGAACCTAAAAGACAAGCGACAATTGAAGGAAGGTGGGGGAGGGCCAAGAATTTGTGGGGAGGGGGGTTGAAAACAGGGGGGATAAAATTGAAGCTGGAACGGGACGATAAGGGTGAAAAAGCGCAAGAGGGGGAATAAAAAGATGGGAAGGCTTGCGCAGTGGCATCCAAACCCCCCATCCACCCTGCTTGAAGCAGCAGATAGGGCACCGTTGATTATCCTCTGAGGTGGCCAGAGCATCAGAATTTTGTTTGATGTGTGATTCATTGAGATTCCTTCAGACCTGTCGAGAAGTCGGCACATATTCGAGATTTACTACTTGGCTATTTTAATACCTTTACTGGAGCCGCGCGATTGTAGTAGTTTATTGCATGAATAATACTAGTTTTCTCCAAACTATTTAGTTCCCGTGCAGTAGTGGGAACTGTTACGTGAGTAAGATCGGAACGGCATAGCGTGTTGAGGTCAATGAGGCTTGTATCTTCGTGCCGTTACCGAGTCCTTCACTGCAAACGGCCGCATACTTCTCTTAAATGTGTTCGATTGTCATTGAATTCGCGGCCTTAAGCTTGTGTTGCTGAATACTTATTTATGTTTGGTTGATTGGAACACCCAGAGCGTTAAAGCGTTCGATCCAATCTAATCCATGGGTGTTCAACTCCTTGTGACCACATTGGTTCCCCAAGCGATGAAGTTGGCAAAACGGCACACACACTCAATTTGGCCTATCGGATTCAACCTGGTGCCTGATGTGCTGGTTGCTTGTTGGCCGGTCGGTTTAATGTCGGACACACCAACAGATTTCTGTAAGTTTTCCCTAATTACTGTGGTGACGGAACACGTGTCAATCGGCAAACGCGCCGGTCTACCGTTGATGCCGATAGTGACGAACTTTCTTCTGTCTTTAACATCGTCTCTTCCGGCTACCAGCGAAGGGGTGGCTTCCGAAAACTGCTTTGGGTGGGGTCCTTTAACAACATTCGACGCTATACGCACGCCTCAACGGATGAGAAAAAACACATTCGCGAATTGTCTACCATGATCGTGTTCGTCGACTTGAACTTCCCCTAGCCTTAGTCGGTCACGCTCGTCTGTAACGCTGGACTGTCTTTTAAACGTACTCTCTATTATGAAATCTCTGTGCTGTGATTGCAGAGGTCGTGGATGGGTCTACAATTGACAATCCACTAGGTCCAGCACCATTATTTATACTGAAACTTCTATCGCATAATGCCTTAGGCTCTCAACTCAATATTTAACTTCTAGTAATTCGTACTATTACTGGAACCGCTTATATTAGCTCGATTTCATCTTCGGAATGTTTGTCGACTGCGTCGACGTGCTTCGTTAACCAGCAATAGGCAGACATGTGTATGTCAGCTGGTGGCCGAGTGGTCTGCACTCCTGGCTTGCAATCATAAAGTCACCGGTTCGAATCCGCGTAGGGGCGGGCGTCCTCGTGGTATACTCAGCCCACGCGCGACTGGTGGTGGTTGCGAGGCAGCGAAGCGCCTTTACGTCATACAGCTAACGATTCTTCATTCATTCAGCACATCACATGACTGACAACCTTGGATAGGCTGGTGCACACCTTTCTCTTAAATGGAAGTATCGGGTCCGGTCAATTCAACGACAGGAAACCTTCTCCTAAATGACTCTTCTGTCTAGTGCTTGCACCTTCCCATTCGCTTCTTCTCGAAGCTACTACTATACTTGGTTACGTTTTCACTTTCCCTTCATTTGCTCTGGTTGTTGCTCCTCTTTGTTTTTCACATAGGGAAGTTTATTTTAACAACCGGGTTCACTGCATCTCTGTGCGTGGCTGTGACTGACTTGCCTGAGCTGAATTACAGTCCTGGTTTCCAGAATCTGGCATCGTTCAAAAACTGTAATGTGAAAAATGTGAAGAAGAAGCTGATGAGATGTATCAGAAAGCGGTTGACTCATTGTTAAGAATACAAAAGCATCTGTGAACTTCCAACTTCGATGTCAATTAGGTTTTTCCAGGAGAACTATGCATCTAATAAGCTGCTCGGGTGTTCAGTCAGCCCAACTTTGTCACATCCTGTCTTAACTCAAATAGGAACATTCTCTAATGATAAGGAACGCCTGGGTAAGTGATAAAGAGGCGTCATAGCGACTCGATCCGACCAGGTTGTACTTTAGTGCCAGAGAATCTGTTAACGTTCTTTGTATGTGGCCTTGGAACTGCTCACGTGATGTCTCTGTCGGCCCATTAATTGAATTTTGTAGCTTATCACCATGTCTGGTGTGCATTGTGGTCTAGAAGGGTGTGTTGTTGTTTTCGCGCAAGATATCGACCGATTACATTGCTCTTCTATTTGCGTGCTTATAGCTTCCCTTATATCATTTTGCTCATTACAGTGCCCAGTGCTACAACCTGCATCGGCCAATTCACCAGTACTTCTGTGTCCCTCACTATGGGAAGATTTACCCGCGTCTGACAGGGTTGAATGTGATCTCAGTCACCACAGCCGTTGAGCGATTGGAAACTGTTAACCACTCCGCGCCTCCATCTCCTATCGGTAGACCGGAGACCGCGGACCGTTGTTCAATTGATGCCAGCCGTAGTCCCACGCTTGGGCTGTCCGGTCGACTCACCGAACTGGGACTGATACATCGCCGGGCCCGAATCATTCGAACAAATTTGCGTGATGCGGGTGGCAAGCCAGCGTGCGCAATTTGCGGTGATACTTGTGAACAGGAAGACAAGGTTGCATGTGAAACACCAACAAAGATGGAAGGGGACTTTGACAATCTGAGCCACTTCGAGAAATGCTCCTCAGGGGATACAACCATGAAAGACAAGGACACGATGCCTCAACGTCTGGTTCGTTTCGCCGGCATGTTAATCTGTACTTGTTGTGTGGAAATACAAGCCACCGACCTCTGTTTCGAAGGCATATGAAGCCATCACTGCACCCATGTGGCCTGATCAATGTCTTTCATTATTTAATTTCCAGTTACGTTGCTGCAAGCACGATTTTGTTTCTTCCAATATCTGCGCTCTTTTGGCAGTAATATTATTTATTCTTTTCGGAATATTTTCCTTTTGAATATCACCGAACTCCAACTGTCCAAACATCTATGCAGATTCTTGTTTTGAATTTCATTATGCATGTTGGTCTAGGCAAACCATACGGACGCATGCAGACTTCTAGGAGTCAGTTGGTTTCTTACTTTACGCCATGCCTCACTGTGTACCAAAGTTTCGTCGGTCCAAAATTCGTCCAATTTCTTAAATCCTTAAGCCCCAACAACGGCATCATTAAAAGGAGAGCAGTTTTGTAAACGGTTACTCTCAATCGGCTGTTGTTTAGGATAACTCTGTGTTTCGCTCATCAGGAATTTTGCTCTAATCTTTATGTTTGCTGATCACTTCAAGTATGGCCCCCTGCTCTATCCCTGGGTTTTTTCTATCGAACATGAACGACGTCTATTAAAACCTTGAGTCGACGCTTTTATAGAGGAAAAAGCCATTGCGCGACGGATCGTGTTACAACATATCGCACACATTGGCACGGTAACAGAATTAATCCGCACCTAAGAAACAGTTAGTCAACGGGGATGATACAGGTCTTCGAGTAGAAGAACCGTGGATCCACGCTATCCTATTCCGAACGTCACCATTGCTGGTGTGATGTTGCCATCGCAAACCAGCAATACCTGGAAGAAAGCAGTCATAAAAAACAAACTGTCCCTGAACGTTGTTCGCACGAACGGCGCTAATCTTGTACCCATAGAGGAGCGCCGTCTTCACCTTGGTATTATAGTCTATGAGATCAAACACGCACCAGAATGTCAGAAACTGGTCATTGCTACTCTGGCTATGGAAATGCAAACAGATATCATCCTTTCACTCATCCGCAATATCCTGCCAAACGCCGGTTGCTAACCATTTGGATTTCTCACCCCGACCCGTAACCTAAGGGTAACGAGCTTGTTTTGTAATCTGACGGCACAGGTTCGAGCCTGCGTAGGGGCAGGACGACCTTCGCAGTATCCTTAGCCCATGTGCGACCGGTGATGGTTGCGCGGCAGCGAAGCGTCGGTACTGCGTACTGCTGATACCGTTGCCTTACCCTATTGTCTCGTGTGTTTTCGGGGACATCTTAAACGCCTGTGTTTAAGGTCGTTCGACCTCTTTATGCTACCAACGCGCAGCCGCCGCGTCTCATCCATTTCCTAAGTCGCACTGATTCCACTATTTCGCTTCGCTGCCTGTATTCTACCGGCAGTCTGGTGTTTCACCCACATAGTGCCTGACTAGGACCTTGCCGAAACCATTGGGTCCTTCCAGTATTAACACTGGTCTACTCAGTGCGTTAACCATCACAACAGCTAAAGCCCTGGCCACATGAAGCAATCGCCGCTATCTGAACGAATCGATGGTGCATCGGCTTGGTTCTCCATTTATGCCACACAATTCAAGCGCAACCACCCACCGGAGGCAGTGTTACTCTGTCTTTAATTATTCCACAACGGTTACGTTGAGTCCAATTCTGACACAAAAACAGATCGAACCTTCCAGTAATGTATAGCCAACCGCTCTACCTAGCAGCCTGAATATCACCGTATACATGAGCGGGCTAGTTGTAATTGGTTTAACCTGCTCTACTTACACTTTTGAATGTAGTGGAGAGTGTCCCAATAAACGTTACATTTCTGCGAGGATTGCATTTTGTTGTGACCGACTATACTATTTCATCCGGTTCTGTACACCTCATCAGTAAGCTTATTCACAAACACCTGAAGTCAGCTGAGACAGTGTTACTTTCAGGTAGGCAACGCGTCGAACACGCTCGTTGCTCACGCGGTGTTCCCACCAGATGTGAGCTAAATTGCGAAGGCACCAGTGGTCGAACGTAACTAGCCTCTTCAGGTCCGTTGCTTTAACGGGCCAGATTTCACAACCGTACAGTAGGGTCGAACGTACCGCTGCATTGTACACTCTACCCTTCAGGGCGAGAGTGATGTCGCGCCGCCGCCATAGTTGGCGAAGGTTAGCAAAAGCGCCCCGAGCTTTTGGCATACGGTTCGCGATCTCATCTTCAATCGCACGGGCGCTGATACAACTTCCCATGTAGTTGAATTTTTGAACGCTTCTAGCTGATCCCCAACAAGGGTCAGCGTAGGAGGCGGTCCAGACCGATCTTGGAGGAAGTCTTTGCACTTCGAGGGTGCAAAGCACAGCCCGAAGTGAGGGACAGGTAGTGCTAATCTGTCCAGTGCCGCTTGGCACATTTGTGAGCTGTCACAGATTAGGGCAATATCATCAGCATATTTTAAGTCAAGAAGTCGTTCTCCTGGGAGTAGCTCCACACCTTCAAAGTCGTGTCCTGTGAACGCGATTTCCCTGACTTCGTCAACAGCGAAGTTGAAGAGGAAAGGTGACAGCGGGCATCCTTGTCTCACACGGCTGGAGATATTAAAGGGCGACGACAACTTGCCGTAAGCTCTCACTCTGCCCGAGCTACGCGCATATAATGCTTGGATAATATTTACATATTTCTCAGGTACACCTTTCGTGAGTTGACAGTCCCAAAGTGCAAGTCTATCCACCGAATCGAATGCATCTTTGATATCGAGGAACACGACAACGGTGGGCCGCAAATATATGTGACGGTGCTCCAACAACTGACGCAAGGTGAAGATGTGGTCAATGCAGCCACGACCTCGACGAAACCTGGCTTGCTCTTCACGAATCTGGCTTTCACGCGTGCCAGTCAGTCTGTGAAGGATGACAGAGGCAAGTAATTTGGAGGCGATGGAGATCAGACTGATTCCTCTATGGCTGCCGCATTCCGATCGTGAGCCTCCCTTGAAAGTTGGGACTATGACGGAGCGGCTCCAGTCGGTTGGGAGAGTTTCCTGCTCCCACATTTTGACTAGCAATTCGTGTAAATTATGCACAAGAGCAGGTCCCCCTAATTTGAAGAGGGCTGGAGGAAGATGATCAGGTCCCGCGGCTTTATTGAACTTCAGCAGTGCGATCTAATGTTCGACTTCTGAGCGAGAGGGTGGATCTAAAGGGACAGCCCATGGAGCGGGACGATCATTGGCCGGCGAAAAATCTAACCATTCCGACCGATTAAATTGGCTTTCAAAGTGCTCAGCCCAACGCGCCAAGCGTTTTGACAAGTAGTGGATAGGCTGTGCACTCTCGTCACGTATAGTTTCACTAACACCAGGTCTTCTGCTGCCCGTTTCTCGTATCAGACGGAATAACTTACGATGGTTGCCAAGGGCAGCGGCCATCTCCATCTCCGAAGCACGACGAGACCACCAAGATTCGCGGTCTCTCTTCAGGCTAGCACGGAGTTTTTCCCGGAGGTCTTTGCGAGTTTCATTGTGTTCGCTTCCAGCGGAGATATGCCGGCGAGTGTCGATTAGTTCCAGAGAGTGCGAAGAAACCCAATGTCCATGTTGGCGATTAGACATACCACATGAGGATTTTCCTGCTGCACGTGAGGTCTGGTGAATATGAGACCAGTGAGCGTTTATCCAATTTGCATGACAGCGTACTTTGATATGCTTTCAGAACAGCTGGCTTTGCCAGTTGGCTGGTGTCAATGCGCTCACAGCATCATCGTGGGCGTCCGCCAAATCGCATCGGCAGATCATCACATACCAGTGCATGGTCGGTGTCCACACATGTGCTCCAAATCGAGCGACAGTTCTGAACGCAGGCTCTCCATGGGTAACTTATCGCAATGTGATCTATTTGCGTCCATAGCTGGTTCGAGGCTGGTGGGCGCCAAGTCACGCTCCGGCGGGTGCTGTGTCGGAAATTAGTGCCCGCAAAAATAAGCGAGCATCCTCACACAAATGAAGTAACCACGCACCGTTATCATTGCGGGAGCGTATACCATGTTGGCCGCCCAAACGCAGCTCATCAGTGGATAATTTTCCAACTTGTGCGTTCAGGTCCCCGGCCAGCAATTCAGCGTCTGAGCTTCTTCTGTGGCTATGGAGCTCGTTCAGTTGACGATCGGAGTCGTCTTTTACCGAGTCATCGCTACAGTTTGTCGGTGCATAGGCAGCGATGATGAGTAGACACCTGTTAGTCCCAGGCGACTTCGAAGTTTTGAACGAGCCAGCCAATCGGACTGAACACATCGGGCTACTGATTGGAATCTAATCAACCAGAGTAGCTTCAACCCGGGGACTCAAGGCAATACCAACACCGGCTTGGCCGGTGCTCGAAGCTGCATCGTCACCGGATAGGCGCACCGAGAAAGTGCTGCTATTGTCACCTGAAGGGATCGCAAAGTGAGCACAGAGCTCGAGTCTTGCTGGCGGGTCTCCGAGAAGCAGCAGATATCGATTGAGGGGGTCTCTAATGTTCGGGCATGTGCTGCCTGTTGACCGATCTGAAGCAGTGTGCGAACATTGAGGCATGCCAATATGAAGGAGGAAGGAGGGCTGCAAATGGAAGCGGATGAACGGGGCTTGGCCGCTTGGGTTGGACATGGGCCTATTGACAGGGCAGGAATGACGTTTCGCGTTCACATGTGAGTTGAAACTAAAAGACAAGCGACAATTGAAGGAAGGTGGGGGAGGACCAAGAATTTGTGGGGGGGGGGGTTGAAAACGGGGGGATAAAATTGAAGCTGGAACGGGACGATAAGGGTGAAAAAGCGTAAGAGGGGGAATAAGAGGAGGGGAAGGCTTGAGCAGTAGCATTCAAACCCCCCATCCACCCTGCTCGACGCAGCAGATAGGGAACCGTTGATTATCCTCTGCGGTTTCCAGAGCATGAGAAATTTGTTTGAAGTGAGATTCATAGTATTGTATACCAAATATTCAAAATAAAATACACCTACTTTATAAATCGCTCTCATGATTTATTCTTATTCCATGCTAACAATTGTTCCTTTGGTTAAATTGAAAATGGGTCTTGTTAGCACTACGGTACTTCCACTTACACAGATGGTGGTCGACAGACCCAACAATGCTCAATTCCGTCTCACTGCATGCAGCCAATTCAACTTGGGCTCTGGTAATCAGCGGTTACGAGGCGGGTGACCTGAATTGCTCTTAACATACTCTCTCCGGTATTCGAGCTTATCAAAATCCAGCTAGCGGTTTGTTTTTCTTGACGGATATTTTCCCCACTGATACCTATTGCGGGTTGTTTCGCTTGCGTTCGTTTCATAAGCCCACACCACTTTCCTTCCGACCACGTCAGCGGATCTTTGTTTCACCATTTCAGAATGTTGCGACACGATAAACTGAGTTATTCCACTGGCATCACTCAGAACTGCGTTTGTCTACTTCCCGTTCAGGTGCACACGCCCGGACTAATCACTTCTTTTGCAGGGTTATCGTGTGTATTGTGAATAAACTCAGTAGTCGATGAATATTGTTTGATGATCGCCCGCAACACTGCACTCAACGATCGGTTTCTAATTCATTTGCTTTCACCCGGTAAAGATTGTGGGCA